TGCTCTCCATCCCTTCATCCCCCAGCCTGTCTTGATAGCGGGGGTTGCCCCGACCCGGGTGCAGGACCTTGCACTTGGCCTTGTTAAACCCCATGAGGTTCACACGGGCCCACTTCTCCAGCCTGCCCAGGTCCCTCTGGATGGCATCCCATTTCCCAAGAGAAACACTCACCAGCACCTCGAAGAGGAGTGACAGTAACTTGCTGTTTGCCATGAAGGTGCTGTCCAGGACACCCAGGTTGAACCAGCTCCCCAAGCACCGGAAGATTTTGATGAGCATCTTCTCATCATTGCCTGCTTTCTCCACGCACGTCATCTACGGCAGGACAAGGAAGAACTGCTTAGGACCTCAACTCCAACACATAATTTCACAAGCAAAATAATAAATTACTTTTGGAAAGCCACCTTGGAGTCTCCACAATCAGCATCAAGAACTCCCCCCGTGAATCTCAGCAAGATACAGGGGGCCTGGGACAGTCAGCAGTGATCCCTCCAAGAGGCACACACACAACTTTCGGCAATCAAGCAGCAGCGTTGTACGTATGTGGAAGCAGCACTCTGACCAGAAGACACCCGAGGATGCCCACATCAGCAGAGGGGACTTCTGCGTCTAGCTAGGGTGACCGTGTCCCCACCCCGGTTTTGTAACCAGGAACATAGAGACAGTTCTGCAAACATCCTCTCAAGAGCGTGTGGACTTTGAGCATCCTCTCCAAGTCCACGTGAAGCACGTTCAAGAAAGCAGACTGCTTCCAACATCCCCGTCCCCAGGGAACGTAGCCCTTGGACTTGGTGAGATGTAGGGGCAAGAGCCAAAAACCTCTCGGTCAACTTCAGCTGCTGTTTCAGAAGCGAGAGAAGCAGGCTGAGTGTTTTCATTCACTCCCAGCCCATCAGTTTTCTGCAGAATCCTGTCTCAGACTGGTGGAGCACAGACACGAATGCGTTTCACACGTGATGAATCCCTAACCTCACTCAAATCTCAATTCGATACTCCTCGCCACAAAAACAACCGCTGCCAAAGAGAAGATGGGTCCTGAGGGTCAGACCTACCCCGAAGGCCAACCTGAGGACGCTCCCGACCACGCCACCGCAGTGTCAGGGACGGGATGTGGGTCTGGCAGCAGCCAGCTCTCGTCTCCAGCGACGGCCGACGCTTCTGCCGCGCAACAGCACCTAACAGCGACCCTTAACCAAAACCTAACACCAAAGGAAGCCCTGACCTCGCCAGGCTGAGGGAAAGGAAGAACAGATGGACAGGGAGGACCTGGAGAAGGATCCCAGATGCCCTTCTCCCCAGAAGAGAGCCTAGACCGGCCAAGCGATCCTGCACGTGAGAGCTTCCAGAGATCCCCACTCCTCGCTTGACACTTCAGTCCTGAAGGCGGAATGCCGTACCTCATCACAGTCCCTGTACAATTTTTTAAAACCCCATTTTGTAACTCAAGAGAGTGAATTCAGCATTTAAATCCTACAGAAAATATTTAATTCTGCTCTTCAGGCAGGTGGTTGAAATGCCTGTGCCGGGATTTACCACGAAAGCTCCGGGCAGATGCAGAGGAAGCCTGAACAGAAAGTCTTACGACAGGGCTGTGACCCTCGGCCACCCAACCCCGGCGCCGCGCATCGCCTCCGGTAAGGCTGCGAGCAGCCCGGAGCGAGGTGACGTTGCCTGTCTCACCGATGTGACAGCCAGACTTCTCCGAGACGTCCTAGGAAGAGAGCCGAGGGCTGGAGACGGCTCGGAGGGACGGGCAGGGCGCAGGGATTTGGGGGAGGTGAAAAGAGTTTCAGAACCCAGTGAGGACTCGTTCGAAGACAACTAAGCCTACGGAAAAAGTGGAACTGGGCTCCCCTAATGGCTGTGGTGGTAACGGCATGGACCTCTGCTGTGATAAATACAGCTCGAGGGGGGAAGAGAGCCTTCCCAAGCAAGACCTGAGCTACTGAGCAGAGGACACAGCTCAACTCTGTGTCCTGATACGTAGGACGAGAGGAAACGGCCTCGAGTTGCGCCAGGGGAGGTTTAGGTTGGATGTGAGGAAAAATTTCTTCACCGAAAGGGCTGTCAGGCATTGGGACAGGATGTCAGGGGGAGCGGTGGAGTCACCGTCCCTGGAGGTATTGAAAAGACGTGTGGACGTGGCGCTGAGGGACGTGGTTTAGTGGTGGGCTTGGCAGCGCTGGCTTAACGGTTGGACTGGATGATCGTAAAGGTCTTTTCCAACCTAAACGATTCTATGATCCTTGATCGTCACGATCCCCCTTCCTTCGGAGTTACCGGAGTAACTCCGGAAAATGAAGCCTCCTTCCCAGGCCGCCGTGGGAAGAGCCAAAGCCGGACGTTGCACAAACACGAAACGTCCACCAGAAGCATCTGCCACGCTCGTACCTCTATTCCAGATACTCTCCGTGGCTTTCTTAACCACGGCCCCGCAAAAAGCAGCGTGGAAACAGAACGGGGACCTTCTGCGAGGGTTTCAGGCCAGGGGCAAACTTAAACCGAGCCCTCCTTACCCCTGCTCCACCCTTTTCTCCAAATTAAACAAAGGGAAACTGCTGGGGGTTGAGTTTGTGTCGGGTCCCATCAGAGAAGGGGATTCAGAGAGGGAAGGGATGTCGGGGAGGGACTGCAGGTGACATCCGAGAGGCAGGAGGGGATAAATGAAATGGCAGGTTACACGGGTCTGGAGGAAGATGAAGCGACGCGCTGCAAGAAGCGAGGCTCCTCTGGGCAGAGAATCAGCTCCCAGGGAGGGCATCCCCCTTCTCCCTGGCTCCTGAGAGCAAGCCCAGAGCCCCCCGCCTATTTCTGTGTGGCACGGTGCCGGGGACGCGCAGAGAAGCTGCACGCCAGAGCTAGAAAAGCCGTGAAGAAGTATTAATTGAGGAGAAGAGAACATGGGCGCATGTAAAAAAGCTTCGCTCATCAACGAGAAGGAAATCTAAAGGACAGCCTAACAGCAAAGGGTAGGCGGGTGTCAAAGGGAGACTGAAATTCTGCGATTTGGAGAAATGGCATCAAAACGCACAGCAAAACCACGGGTCACTTCACGTGGATGAAGTATTAAGGGTCCTAAGGTTCCTTCTATCTTCAACAGCTACAACTCCATCGACAGAGGAATACTGACCAGCGGGCTAGCAGGGCAAGAGGGAGGCGGCTGGAAGAGAGACGGGGGGGACCACAGACCCCCAGCGTGCAGGGCAGCCAAGGACGGGAAGACGGGGCTGCAGAGCAGAGAGACGATTGCTGACGAGACACTGCAATTAAACACAGCAAACCTCGGCTCCGTCTGGAGCACGGCGACATTAACCGGCTGCTTGGTGGAATTACAGACTCGATTCGCGCTGCCGAGGGTACATTATCTTTCCTTCTTTAGATAAGCACCGTGGAACGGTAGACATTTACGGGAAGCTCTGGAGGCTACGGCACACGCTCCATTTGAAGCTTGAGGCAAGGGATCGGGTTGGCTACTCATTTACTGAGCTCAAACACCACTGACGAACACGAGAAGTCTCTCTGGAAAGGAGGGAGCCAGCAAGGAGCGTTTCTTTCCGGTCCCTGAAGCAGTTCACCTCAACGCTTACTCGCTCCTCCCCAAACTCGCCCTGTTTTGGGGCCCACAACACTCTCGTCGTTGGAGAGCGTGAGTGCTCCCTGGAGGAGGAGGCCTTTGAAGAAGAACCAGGAGATGGAGCTGCAGTCTCCCTGCTTGGCCAATGCCAACTGTGCCCTGCAGCTAAAGGCATAACCTCAGCTTATCACGCGATGATCAGAAATTGGGCACGTACTTAACGTTGGAAAGGGGCACGAGAAGAGAGAGAAATCACAGGCTTTAAGTACCTGCACGCCCTTCTTCTACCACAGAGAGAGAGAGAGGTGTGTGAACCTAGAGATGATCTAGAGATGATCTAGAGATGATCTAGAGATGATCTAGAGATGATCTAGAGATGATCTAGAGATGATCTAGAGATGATCTAGAGATCTACATACACACCCCCATAATGGGCTGAAGCAATTTCGTGCTTAACCATCAAATAACCCGAAACTACCTCGGCCTGCACAGGACTCCAGTCCTCGCCAGCGACCGAACCGACAGTCCAGGAGACTAAAGAAAGTCCTGAACTAAAAACATACAGCGCCAGAAGGCGCACCGCACTCCGCACCGCCAGCTAAACCAACGCAGTCCTCACACGGAGAGTCCAGCTGAGAGGATGAGAAAGCTATTAAGTCTCCATAACTAGCTCCGTTTTCAATCCAGGGCTGACACCAGGGACCTGACCGTGACTTTGATCTGCTTGGAACCGAAATACAGAAAATCAGCTTGTTTCACACAGACCAGCTTTTTGATCGCATCCAACCTGGAATAATCTGGATCGGTGATGTGGAGGGGGGAGAAGAAGCTGCATGAACTTCTTTAGCAGCTGACCGGGGCTCGGCCGCTGCTCGGTCTCCTTACCAGCAGAGAGATGACCGTGCTGGAATAGTACGCCAGATCTTCTATGATTTCAGTCCGGCGGTTGGCTCCGATGCGCAAGGATCGGCTGTGAACCTCTTCTGGCAGCACCGTGAGGATTTCCAGCAGAAAGGGCAGCGATGTCACGTCGTTGCTGTACCTGAAACAACGGGGAGGGAGGACAGCGCGTGAAGGCAGGCGAGAGCCAAGCGCGCGCAGACAGCCTGCATACCGGCGAGTAGGTTAACAGCGCCGCGAGAGACGGAGGGGCTTTTCAAAGAGATTCGGCACAAGCGTTATCGCAGACGCTCTCCAGCGCCCAGCTGCGAGGGCAGAGCGCCGTCGAGAGGAGTCTCTGCCAGTGGTTTAGCTCACGAGTTCCGACGGAAAAATGGCAAAAGCTTTCCCAGCCCACCAGCACGTCACGTCCAAGTGCCATCGCCCAGGCAAATCGAGTTCCCTCCCGCTGCAGAAATACCACGGGACCACCGCAGCACGGTCATCCGCCCGAACAAGACAGTCTCAGCGTGTGGCATCCCGTGTCGGCGAACAGAGGACAGCGAAAAGCGCCGTCACGCGGAAATTGGGCGTTACCCCACCAGCCCAGCGAGCGCCTCGGGACGCCCGACAGCAGCGGCGACCGCCTCGACCTCCCCGTTGACTCCTGCGCTACGGCTGACGCCGGGAGGGGACGAGGGATCACCCCCTAACAAAAACGGGGATGAGGGAAATCGCTGAGGCTCAGAGAGCCGCGTCCACGGAAGCGCGCACGGCCCCTCCGTCGCACAGAGCCACAGACAGACCCACCCCTCCCTCCAGCCCATCTCCCTGCCCACGATCCAAAACGCTTTAAATTATTAATCAAGAAAGCAAGCAAGCTTTCCTGTCGTCGGGCCGTTCGCCGCTGCGTGCCTTTTTGGACCGTGCAGGCCCACCCACTCAACGTTTTTTCACTCGAGGAACAATTTAGAGTTTAACGATAGGAACGACTACTTACTTTTCAACCAGTGTTTGTACGCAGCCTTTCCAAGACGCCATTTGCAGGGCAAGGTCTGCTATTGCTAAAGCAAGCTGAAAGGGCAAGAGGAAAAAAAAAAAAGAACAAAAAACGAAACACAGCTAAGTGTGGTGACTGACGAAATCTGCCCGACAGCACAGGAGAACGTCCTGAGCTCGGCAGGGCCGGCAGGGAAGGCCGGGCCTGCAGAGGCAGGGTATTAATGCACAACATCCCTCTCGCGTGCGCAAACCCCTGCGGTCAGCTGCGGAACGCCCACCGCCCCCGACGGGGTGATACTCTCCGCTGGGCTATTTAGGGGCCGAACAGGCACCCTCGCCTCAGTCTGCGTGGCGGAGCCGCGTCGATGAGGTGCAGGGGTAAGGGGAACGCCGTACGGAGAGCAAAGGGATTTCCGAGAACACGCCAGCGCCTCGGGAGAAATCCCCCCGGTCACCGGGGGGGTGATCAACGTTCTGTCTCCGTTGGAGAGCACAGGGAAAAACCCCAGGAAGGGCTGCTCCTCCTTCTCACCCTCTCCAAACAGCAAACAACAGGATAAAGTAATTGATTTAACTAATGGCACCGAATAACGAAGGAGGGCAAACAATCCTGTACGGGGAAGGCACGACCGGGCTGGCTGCAGGCATCGACCTTCTCTGTTCTCCATGTTGGAGGAAAAGCAACCAAGGGAGACCAAGGGCTTTGTCTCAGAAAGAGTCAGAAGCGACGAAAGCCGGAGCCGGCCACCATCGGTGTGACCCGCAGGCAAGCAATTACTGTGCGGAACGGCTCTGTGACACAAGCCTGCGGCTACCAGCCTGCTCTCAACGGCGAGTTAGGACTGGACGGTCCTGGCTTTACTGCCGAGAGCAGCCTCAGGCCTCTCTCGCTCGCAGACATTTACAGAGCAGCTCCTTCCACCCCTCTGCGCGGCACCTACCTGGGTTACGATGACCGGCGACAGGTCTTTCAAGTTCTGGATGTGGGACAGCAAAGAGTCCCGTAACGAAGCGTGGGAGTCCGTGGGGAGTTCGTAGAAGGATGTCTGTATCTTCATCTTCATGGTCTGCGCCGCGAAGTAGCACGACTCCACATCCTGACGGATCTGCAGCAACTGGTCAGAGATCTCCCAGGCGTGGACCTGGAGGCAAAGCACGGCAATCGTCAGAGAGCGGGCAGGGGAACGTGGAGCAAACCGAGGAGGTACCAGCAGGCTTAAGGGAAAGCCCGAATTCCCCCAGACGAAAACGCATCCTCCTTCTCCATCAAAACACCCCCGTCATTTTCACCAGGAGAGTCCCTGCCGCGCTGCTGGGGGGGCCCGGCTAACGAAGGCGCCGGGGCAGCGACACCCGCCGGACGAGTTGAAGGAGCAGATCAGCTTCCAGCACACACCTGGCATCGGCGGAGACGCGCACGGCCTCGCTTACCACAACCCCTGCGGGAGGGCAGATTAGAGAGCGGATCTGATGCCCGTCCTTGCAGTAAAGAGCAACAAAAGAGGCTTTTTCGGCCTAAGGTGGATAACGGCTGCGCCTATTACACAGCAATAAAAGCGGAGAGAGCCCAGCAAGGGACAAATGGAAAAAGGAGGATTAGATAAAGGTCTCCCCAGATCAAAACAGCGATATGTAATTGCAAGATTGAAGCCGCCGGGCCCATCTCAGAGCGCACACCGGGACCGGCGACTCCACAGCAGATTACGGATGCGCCGAAGAGCTCGGAGGAGAGCCAGCGACGAGGGGAAACCATCGCCTGCCCGGCCTCGGAGAGGCAACCAACGGCCGCCTGGCTGGGACGAGACCGAAGGCTTTGCCCTTTGCGCCGGTCCAGAAGCTACGGGGAAAGAGAGCTGGGCGAGCCAGAGGAGCGGCGGGCACCGCCGGGCAGACCCCGTGCCGCCCTCGCCTCGCCGAGATGGGGGAACGGTCCCCCCACGGGGGACCAGCCCTTTACACCCCAGGCACCGTTTAGACCTGCTGAAGCATCCGCTGCGGTTGGGGGGACAAGGGAGCCAGTCGGGGAAGGAAAGCTTGGCCGGGCCACCAAGCGTCACCAAACCCCGCCAAGGGACGGCAGGGCCAGCGGCCGGAGCACTTCGGGCACGGCTTAGGAAGAAACCCTCGGACCCGGGGACTCCTGTTAAGGAAGGAGATCTTCAAAGGCCTCAGACGGTCAGTAAAATACTCCTCCTTTCCCGAAACATCTGCAACACATTTTAGTTTTGGTAAGATCGTTCGGTTTTTTCCTTAAAGATCACGACGAACGCTTTATTTTTCCAAAACACTTGAAATCTGAATTTCTGTGCACGCTTAAGCTCGAAGTAATCGATTCGCACGATT